AGTCGGTCACAACTTCTTCCACATCCGAGTCCATGAATCCAAAATCAAACAGCTGATTAGTTCTATGGACTGGTGATCGGACTGGAGGCCGTGGTAGGGTGAGGAATCGGGGATGGATTTTACCGAAGTATTTTAGTGCAGGTCATCAGGCTGTAGGAATGATGAGATGTACTAGAATCATTATTATAACTTTGGGAAAATTAACTTTGTTTTCATTATTTTAATGTCAAATGGGGTTAATTTAGGGAGTGAAATGCTATAAGGCAAGGGTACACAGCGGTTTTGGAGAAGGTAGGGCCCTGGAATCGTTCATTTCCGACCTATTATTATGGCGAAAAGGATTTTTTGAGCCGTGCTTCTATTGCTATCAAAACAACGAAATCGCCTTTCCATCAGTAAACTGAGGAATTTCAGATATAATAAAAAACTCGCTGGAGAACACCAAGCTCATCCATCTCATTAAAAAACACCATAAATCATGATTTGTCTCCTTATTCAGTCTGTAATATATTCGTTTCTGACTTTACATTCTTTTTGTAGTGCCGGGGGGCGATGAAGTTGTATAAACTAGTGTAGGGGAGCGATGGTCAAAAAAGTTTGGGAACCACTGGTCTATACTATACGTACAGCCAGCGGAACAATACGAAATAACCATTTTCAACAGCCAAACAAAACGGAAACGTATAATCCGACTTGCAACTGACAGGAGCCAAATGGACGTTTTTGTTTTATTGCCGTCCGGTAAACAAGGTCACGTGACCCGTGCAAGTCCTCTATATACCGAAATTCCGAACATGGGAACTCATATGATTGGGACTCACTCCACCACTAATCTCTCCGCTTCCAGCGAGGTGTCCTTGTGGCTCTGTGACCGTGAAAGTCCTCTATTTGTAAAGGAGAAATTAGGTCAAGCTAGCTAGGAAACTGGGGGATTTTCAAAGTGATTTTACATAATATTTCCGAAAAAAAAAGGTTGAAAGGAAAGTAGGTCAACCTCTCTCCTAAAATAGGGGAGGATCTTGCGTAATATTTCGGAGGGAACATAGGTAAACCTATTTCTTAAAACAGCGGGTGGCGACTTTTAAAGTGATTTAAAATGACAAATTAATAGATATTCGGTTACGGTTAAAGATAAATTAAAAAGTTTATTTTCAGCGCAATCTCCATTCCTAACCCTAATGGATAATTACAATTTTAATTTGGGTGGTGGCGGGGGATGTTATTTTGCAGGGGTTTTGTACAAATGATCCACTACATAACTAATATGGATTCCAGCTTTCATGTATCAATTGTTGTCTGTTAGATGGAAGGCGTAACTCAAATGTGAAAGCCTTTGCTGTTCACGCGAGATAGCAACCAACACGGGTGATTGATTACATGAAAGTTTTATACGCGACAGTTGTTAGCAGGTGACATTTCGTTACCGATGAATTCACATATTTTAAACAAGAATTTAAACGGAAGTCCGTTATTGGAAAGGCTCCTCTTTAATTCATAATATTAACGGAAGGAGCGCTTTTCCGAGTATCTATGCGTTTTTTTTTTGTAGACAAGAAAAACATAACTTCAAATCCCTCACAAATTTTTCTCTCTCCCGCTTATATCATATTCCTAAACTCTTGACATTGATTCAGGAAATGAGTGAGATTACATTTAAAACAATTAGGAATTGGTTTGTCATCAGCGGAGACAGTTGCAGTAAAATATGATTTATGTTGTTCCATTGATTTATTTGCAATTTCTCTAGTTTTATTAGACATTATTTCGTTCGGGATTAGCAAGGTTTGACTATTCCCTCGTTTTCTTACGCACATATGACACGAGTTGTGCTAAGCTTACGTCCTCTTCTTTAACATGAAGAGCATCATCAACCAAAGTTCGCCAACCTGGCCACACAGATAGCATTCTCCACGATATTTTATCAATGATCATCAAAGACAGCCCTTTATTTTTAATGCCCTTTAATGTATTTTCACGTGCGATTTATTCAGCAGCAATCATTGTTAAAGCTTCCAGGTCAGTGGTTCTAAGTTGTTGGTCATCTATAATAGAATTCAAACATGCCTGTTCAATTTGAAATGCCTCATCATAGCATGCCGGACCTTTATGTTGGCAGTTGGCACCCTTTTACTAGAGCACAAGCAACGCCTCTTGTGTATTGTAACAGATAAACAAATCTTTGTTTTGCATTCTACACTTTTGCAGCAATAACAGCATCGAAAATGTCAATAAAGTCATGGTGTTCACCAGGATCACCAGAAAAAACTGGAGGTTCTGTTGAAGGCAAATTTGCTTGCTGGGGCACATTTTTGTATCCGGCTTGCCATGGGTATATTAATTTGAGTGACTTCTTCATTAATAATTGGCATTGCCAGTCTATTGCTGTCACCAGTGGCTGCTTGTGACATGTTATAAATTGGAATTGTACCTGTATTTGAACTAAGATTGCTAATAAAAATCAGTGCAAGAATAACTCATGCAACTACTGGTAGGTGCGTTATTACTGGTAGTTTGGTAGTATTAGGAAATATTCGATTGGGAACTATTACTAAATCATTAGCATTATGAGATGCAGTACTAGCCACAACCATACATTCACTCACGCCAAGCACACTGGTAGTATGTGGACGACAAATTTTCATACCAGGGGAGGATGAATAAACTGACGTACTTTGATCCCCACTAATATCAGGCACGAAATGCGAAACATCCCCAACAAGTAACTTGGCTGATTTGCAGTTGTTGCATGGTCTGAAATGCAACAGTAGATTTAATATTATTTTCAATTGTTGCAGGAGATCTTATTTCAGGTGGAGACACATTCTGTATCTTGTTACTATTTGACACATTTGTACATGTGCCAAGTAACAGTTCATTATCCTTTGTATTGGAAATAGCAGGAAGATCAAAAGATAACCCCTCTCTGACATCGCTTCTGTAAAGTCAGCATCCAATTCTAACTGGGTACGCTGATCTCTACGTTTTAGTTCATTACATATCGATTTTATTCGGTAAGTATGTTGATAGGTATTTGTCTGTATGTCTGTTAGATACACGCGATATCTCACGAAAGCGAGGTTGAATCTGCTTTCATGTGCATTCATCATATCTCGGATCAGGAGCCTATTGATTTTGGATGAATTATGTCGTATAATTAGCGAGTTAATAATTAATTAGTGATGAAGAGATCTGGATTTTTACAAAGCGAGAGCTTTTCGAGACGCGCTGAATGTGTGTGTGCGTGTCCGATGCGCAAGTTTTCACGCTAGTGAGTCAGAGCGAAGGATACACACCGCTAGATCGTATCTCGTGATTAATCTTTAAGCATTGTTCATATCTCTCTTGTAACTTTGACGTCGTCGCGATGCACAGGTTTCCTTCGAGAAATTTTTCACGCTATTGAGTCAGAGCGAAGGATACACCCGGCGAGATCCTACCTCGTTACTTATAATTACTCTTTAAAGTTAAAGCAATGTCCATATCCCTCTATCAGGTTCGGGGTTGTAGAATTCCTCACCAAAATATCGCTAGGCTGTGTTTGAATAGATGTCGCAACCCGGGTTAGCGCCGTTGCATTTGACACAAAATATAGGATTGGTAAATAGGCTATTGGCTGGAAACAAATCAAACAATCTAGTTCGGATTTGCAGAATTCTTCATAAAAGTATTTCCTCGAGTAGTATTTCGACGACGACATGGGGAGCTATTGGTTCCTACATTTTTGATATTGGCTGAAAACTATTTAAAACAATCCAGTTCGGGTTTGCAGAATTTTTCGAATCGAAACCGCAGTTTCTGTTTTGGGGGTTCCCCTAACTTTCGATCGATAAGTCTTCGGTCTCTGACCGATATTCTCGTTTAGTTCTCTTTCTTTGCGTTTCTGAAAACTTTCTTTTTTGATTTGACGTTTTCTTCTGAGCTATTCCTCTTCTATTCGAATCTTTTCCTCTTAAATTTGACGTTTTCCTTTGATTTCTTCATCTTCTATTCTCGTTCCAATCGGCTTTTTCTTGTGAAATGGAGTCTTGTAGTTGAATCTTTTCCAACTCAATCTTTTTTGTAGACTTAATTTTCTTGCTTTGTAAATATCTTAAATTCACTGTATGTGGTTGCCTGTGACAATACTGATGACGCAGTTCGGATGCTTCGAAACCGTAGAGAACCTCCAATACTCGGAACTTTTGATTTCTGTGAAACACTGTCACCTGATTGAGCACCATATTTTGATTTCGCTCTCGTGGTCATTTTGTGAACATTCATTTGCTTATCTTCGGCATTGGAAGATGCTACGGACTTCCCTTGTTTATTTGTTTCATTTTCTATTTTGGAAAGCGATCTTCGAAAAAGGTCATAAATCGAACCACTACCGGAGCCAGCAGGAGATATTTTTTCCGCAGTCGGTAAAAATACCTTGCAGTATAAATTTATGTTGTTCAACGTAACTCATGGCTGCGTCGACTTACGAAAAAGGGAAAACTTTACCACTCTAAAATATCAAACCAATTTTCGGACCTAAAATGCATGGTAAATAGCCAGGTATGTAGATAACAGTTATCGCAATGTTTATTGTATGCAAATTCCTTCATACACTAAAACAGGGGTTTCCAACACGCTTTTTTACTTGAAGTTTATTCTCAACTTATACGCTAGCTACGAATGTTTGAATCCCATGCGGGGATGGTTGTGTGCGAGAGGATTGCTGGACTTTTTCACCCTGGAGGGTGCTTCACGTAGGCGCCGATCGGTAACGGCTTCCTCCACCAACAAGTCATGCTTCTGAAAACAATTAACTGGCTAACTGATCCCATACCCGACATAGACTGATCACCGGAGAAGAGACCGTGGTTTTCACCATATTATTGAGCCGTATTATCGGTCTTCCTCCCCCTTGGCTAATTATGTGATACTTATATCGAAGAACTCCCAGATATTTCGTTATACATGATTACTTTATCATTCGACTCACTGTTTCCTCTGCATACAAAGAAACCAAACATAGGCAATTTGTAATCATTTTACACATTTTTTTTATTGATTTCTATAAAGAAAACAACTATTAGCAAATTGAGAGCAAAAGCAACAGCACATAAATTTCTTAATAAAACAGTGCGAGAGTTACAGCTTTGATTTAAAAAGATTTCAGTAAAATGAATTCAAATATGGCCAGTTCCGGTTTCGAAGAAGAAAAATCGTGCTTAATTTCCATGGCCCAAAACTCAACCAAAATCTAATAAATTAGAGACAATTCTGAATCGAAATAATTTAGACCAAATTGTAGTAGACCCTAAAACAGTCTGTTTTGCAATTTTACACGCGGAAGAAGAAAAGGAAATATTAAAAAATGAAACTGCAATATCAAATTTAGAAATGATTCAGATGAGTGATAATCTAATCTATAAAGCTTTGCTAAGCGAAATTGTATACAAAGATAGGTCAAAAGAATTTCTAGAATAAATGTAAACAGAATTACAACGCCCCAAGAAACTTAAGCCACGTTAATGGTATCCTGTCCAAAGCACAAAGCCTTGATAGACGCGAAGCTCAAAAACACAAGAAAAGCTCAAAAATAATTTCAGCATTTTAGAATTTTCTAGACTCTTAGTATTTTTTCTTAATATGCATGGATCAACAAACCTGATAACTAACTTTAATCATTAGCCCCTTGTAATTGTGCATTTTTTTAAGTGTATAATACTCTATAATTAGCCGTTACACACATAGTCATCCAATACCTGTGGATCTTATGCATAACAGTAAATTTGGGGGGGGGGGAGCTGAATGAGATGACCATAGGGTCGTACCGCTCCCTCCAGTCTTTACCATAAACAGTGTTTATTTATTTGTATTTATGCTTATATTTGTTTTGGTTGACAAATCAATAAACTTCTCTCTCTCACTCTGTTTTTAGTGATTACTTGGTTGTAAATCGACACAAAGTTGTTCAACTTATTTAAGAATCCCAAAATAAAAATAATGACACTTCACTTTTTGCTACTAAAAATTTTAAATATATTGGTCTAATACACGTGTGGGCAATCACTTTTCTGAGTGGGCCAGTTACATATAATAGACTTGGTTATTGGGCCACATGCTCAAAAACTGAGTATGAAAAATTATGAATAAAAACAGTTTACTTACAGCAGATAGTCTAACGTTTATATATTAATTAGAAGCACAATATAACAATCGGGTCATTATGACGTTATTTTCATCAATATATTTAGCGGTGATTTAAATTCATTAAAAACATAGTCGTGCAGCGGCAGATTATTTCAGCACATATAAGTGGGTCGGATGAACTGCTTCGGCCGGCCCACGGGCCGTCATTTTCCCACTCCTGGTCTAATAAATGGATAGTAAATTCACATTTCATAATCAGTGGTCTAGTGATTAAAGGTGCATATGTCAAAAGCATGCATGTACAACGACAATCAAGCACAACAATGCTTCTTATGGTCTGAATAAGTGTAAATTAACACAAATTAAAAAATACCTTTATTCAACTCAAATACCTAGTATACACGGTATATATTGCATATATAAATTTTTAACTACAAGATGTAAATAAGAATGAAACATGTATTTTTAAAATAAATTCTCGATTTAAAAATATTCCAATTTTTCACCTTTTCAAAACTGCACTTATTGTTAGGAGATTTTAAAAATCAAGAGTTGGGCACCTCTACAAACTCAGTCGCAGTTTACTTAACGAGTGAATGCGCAACTGATATGAAGTAACGATATATGTTTTGTCAATCTTTTGCGGAGACTGTTAAAAATTTCAGAATGACAAATAGAAAGGCGAGTCAGTTTCGAAGATCCACATTGTCGCTTGCAAATTGCAGCCTTCTTATTGATGGGCCACTTTAATTTTTATTTGAAAGACAAGGACCTCGCTCGGGCAAATTTATATTCAATAATTAAGATATACATAAGGAATAAAACTTCATTCTAATGAATAAAATTTCTTTGGAAAAACTTAAACTAGATTGAAATATGCACAAAGATTAAGGCGGTATTCTGAAAATCCAGCTTGAATATGAATCGTAGATAAAAACCATAGCATGGAGCTAGTGAAACTTAGGGCTAGTGGCCAATGAGAAAGAGAATGCTACATATATAAAATATAACGAAACGTCTGCACTCAGCAGTAAGAATATTATGTAACGAAGTCGAACAAATATTTTTTTCCGATAAACACAAATACATTTTGGTATAGCCAAGAGATAAAAAGCGTTGAACTTTGTGACTTTCCTCTTTAAACATGACAATGTGAGGGCTTGTCCCTTGCCTCGTTTGGAGAAATAATTTTCCAAGTGAGACCATGTGAAAACCATTGAAATTTCAAATACAGGTATGTTCATAATCTAATAGTATATGCTTGCTTATCATTCAAGCATTATAAGTAGCCAGTCTAGAAAGGGAAAGCAATATGAGACAAATTCAGAGTCGCCGGGTTGGCAACTCAATGAAGGATGGAAATATAATTTCTTTTTTCATGACTAAATGAACTAATCTGCCCTAAGATTCGAATATTAATTACAGAAAAATTATTGAGAATACAACAGGGTTTCCTAACTTTATTTCTCTCTTCCAATTTTTGGCAAATTTTCAAAGGTAAAGTTATTTATAATTTTTCTTCGCATGTAAATATGTGTCGCTTGTTTCGACAATGACTATGTTATACAACAGAGGATTTTACTTCCCATCCTTTGCCATCTTTGGTCGAAACCAGTATTGAGGGAGAATTTAGTAGGGAGTGTGAAATTGTCCATGTAAAATTGCCCCCCAAGGGAAGTCAATTTACTTTTGGTAAATGCGCTCAAAATATGAATTTCTGAATGTTCCTAATTGTACATATTTATCTTAGCTCTCGTTCGTGTCGATATGATAATGAGAAATATATTAAAGAAATGCGCAAAAATGGTAAAAAAGCAAAGTATATATTCAAGACAACTATACGCATTTAATTATATAATAGTAAATATACAATCAGTATGCATTGTAGAACTAGCATTTCGGTCCTGATGTATATTTTTGGTTTCAATGGAATATCCGGTGAAATGCAATCAAAGCGCTCGACAGATATCAAAGTTGCCGAATAAAAAAATCAGATGAAAATCCCATGCATGATGATTTTTGTTCCTCAAATCGAGTTATTTATTTTAGAGTCAATTCCCTATGTCCCACAAGCCCAATCACTTTTATGTAACAACATTGGTCTCTCCTGTGCTGTGGGTCTCCACTCTCGCATTGTCAGTTGCCATCGTAATTGCTCTTGGTCCAGTGTGAACGACATTTGATATGTTGATGGGTCCAGTACCTGGGAAAAATAATATTCGATTGATCTTGAATTTTTTTTTATTATTATATTAGGCTTTGGAAAATTATTAAAAAGTGGGTGACACCATATGGGTTATATTCGCGGCTAGGAATTCTTGTATAGGACACTGAAACTAACAGTGCTATCCCGACAATTGTGGTTTTTATGACTCGACCAATTAAGGTTTTTTTACCTTGAATATTTTTAAACAGCCAAGAACAAAGTATCATTGTCTTGAAAAATAGGGCCACCAGGCCCAGTGTATTGTGACGACATAATAATCGTATGTGACGTCGAATTAAAAAAAAATGTTGCCACCGATACCAATATATTTCACTGGGTGTAGTGATTTCGGCCAAAAGATATCATACAGTTTGGCTGCTATATAGTTTTAGTAGAATATTAACAGCTATTGTCGAAAAACAAGCTTAGTACCAGTTAGACGATGGAATGTAATATTTGCTTTAGCGCAAAACAGCGACAAATTAAACAAAGTTGCGTAGATTGCGAACCAAGTATATACAAATTCATTGAATGAAGCAGTCAATACTTAATGGAGCGAGTATTTCTACTTTAATATATATTATGTGATGGCTGAGATTTCATTGCTTGTTGCAATTGCAGTACTGAATTGTAGAGTGGGCAGTTACATTCTTTCACTATCTAAATTTTTGCATATGAAAAGACCCCATATACTATCTTGACTGGTAATAATATGAAAGATCTCAAACTAAGCCATATCATTTTTAAACAAAAACAAAACTTGCATTTTCCAGTATCATTTGAACTCACCTCTATTTTGAATTGGCCATTCTACGACCGCTATTAGATTTGTTTCGGGGTCTTCGTTTATTCTTACATAGTAATCGGCATCGATGACTCCAGTATGTTCCCGAGGACGAGGAAGAGGTTTAAAAAAAACCACATGTTTGCGTTTTTCAAAAATTTCTTTATTGATATGGAATTGCGAAGATGGATATCCCTGTGAGATTACTGTTTGTTTTGGTTCCGTGCATTCAAATCGTAGACTGACCCAAGAACCCAGACCTTCGAGAATTTCATGTGAGAGTCCCATGAATTTGACAAAGTTTGCTCTCTGTAGGCTTTCTTCCATGGTGCGTTGCGTTATTTCATCTTTGCAAAATACTGAAGAGATTTGAGCAGTGCGTTCCTGAATGTACACGTCATTGATAAGATGGAACTTTCCATCTTCGACTAACTGTGAGGAAACAGTCACTGCCATGCCACAGAAATGTGAAACAGTAAATCTAATCTTGTTGGTATTACCTAAAAGTGCTTCAGAGACTTTTTTCCAACCTGAGTCTCCTTTTCTTATTTGAATATCAACTGGAATGGTTTTGTTTTCTCGAGCGCTGAAACATGTGTCCATTTCTACAGTTACAGGTTTGTTGAATTTCATGGAAGGTTTGCAAATCATCACAGGTGTTATAGGAAAGTCGAGACTCAATAATATGTCCGATGTTTCGTCTTCGATAAAACCAGGTGAATTTTCAGGACCACTGTCTACAACCAAGGTCACTTCAGTTTCTTCATCCAATGCTGAAGGAGGGAAAATAAGTCGGCATCCTAGTAGATTCATATCTCCACCAGATGGCGGAATAATCTGCTTGACAGAGTATTTTTTTTTTACTTTTCTATCAAATTCAGTATCAATGTGATCTAGTAAATCAAGGCTTTCTCCAACAGTGAAACATTGACGAGAGTCGAAGGATAGAAATCCTCGTGGAATGGCACATGCGGAAAAATACTGTTTCGTAGTTTCAAGTTCTTGAACCACTTCCCATTGATTATTTTTTTCATCATATAACTCAATTGAAAGACATTCATCCTTTCTTTCTCCAGCCACATATAATCGATTGTTCACCACACAAAGGCTTGGGCTCATGCATGGATGACACATATTTGAGATTTTTGACCAGCAATCAGATTTTTGATTATAACACTGAACTATATCCAACGAGGTGTTCGACAATCCAAACCAGTCATTAAAAACACCCCCAGCCAGAAAAACCATATCATGTAAACACAGCCACAAGACGCAAAATTCCTGATTTTTGGGCATTTTTGCAATATCTGACCATTTCTTTTCGATCCCATCAAATCGTTTTCCTTTTCTCGTTTTACCACCCATTGCATAAATGTAATTGCCTGAAGAAGCCGTGCAGTATCCTAAATTCAAATTGCATCCTGGTAATGTATCTGACCACGAATTCGTGACAGGATTATACATCAATAGTTCAGATCTTGAAATAAAAGCCAAACAATCCTGGAAGGCAACTACTCTGCTGGGTGGTACTGTAAAAAAATTATTAAAGTTGACGTGTCCACTTCTAACGCTCTCTGGAATGTGCGATAAATAGTCCCAATTTCCTTGCTTATTTAGTTTTAAAAATTTCCCTTTCATTTATTCCGTATACGTTTTCATCCACATTGATTATTTGCATACGGAAATTCTTTTTCATTTGCGGTAATACAAATGTTGTTGCACTCGAGAGATCACAGATATATCCCATGCCCGACAATCCATAGCTAATATATCACATACTGTGATCTCTTCGTAGACATTCTTGTCCACGGTCAATATTCCGGATCCCAACTCTTCCATACTTCCAAGCAAGTCTTGAAATTTTTTCAGGATAGGATCAGTGAGCAACGTATTAACGGTAGAAGATGAAAGAAGTTGTAGGTTGATGAGTTTTAAAAGACCTGGTAGCAAATCAAATCTTTCTGAGTTTTCCTTCACCCATTTTAGCAATGCTTCAGCCTTGAAGTCTGCACTGCACTCAGTCATTTGTATCAAATTTTCGATTTCAACTTTACTGAAATCCAATAGCTCTTTTCTTCTGAGAACAAGTGGTGCGTGGATCGTCAGGAACTTCTCAATCTCTGAATTCCAAAGATTGTAATTGATATTGTTATACTGGGCGTTGAGAGTTTTCAGGATGAAGCAATTGTTCAAATCAATTTTGTCGCATAATTCTCCAACTTCTGAAATTAAAGAGAAAATGTGACTAAGAGCAATTACTTTTAGCTCATATTCGTTCTCGAAAAACGGATCATTTACAACTATATTGAAAAGAAACTCAAATGGAGCTTTCAATATAGTTAGTAAATCTTTGAACAATGTGCTTGCATCATTCTTGTTTTCCATCCAACGTTTCACTGCTTTCCACTTCCTTTCCAAAGCATGGTCACGCAATTTTCAAATATATTTCAAAATCTTCTTCAGATACGAACTTGAACTCATCATCATCGATTAATTTCTCTAAACCATTTGTAAAATAAATGGTATCACTCTCACTATCGAAATTTTCATCGCTGGGGTAAAAGCATGAGTCCAGCAATGCAATGCAACTCGGAGATTGTTCCACTAACTTTTCTTTTTTCAATTTCCAGTTGAATAAATCCGATTGAGAGCTCCTTGAGCTTTGATCAATTTAAACATACGAGAAAAATGTGTACGTCGATCTAGTTTGAAATGAGCCCACGTCGATAGTAGTTCGTACTTTACTTTATCAGAAACGCAGTTGATCATCTTTGCTTCCAATTCTTCAACGCTGTCGTCGCTGAAAGCTTCGTAACCAGCACACTTAGAAACTTCCTCAATATGGTCGACTATGAATTGATTGATAAGCTTTAGTGGCTTTCCGTCGACGTCAAGAAAATCACGAGCCAACTTTTTTAATTTGATACAATTGCTTGCAGTAATATTTTCTTTCAAGTTTTCTGTTTTCATAAAAACATGTTTTGAGACTGAATTTACCAAGGTACGGTTGTCAAAAATGTCGCTATCCAGACCAGTCGTCAGAAGAAACGCGAATGGTAATTTCATGACTTTTAGTGCATCATCCATGATTCGGATGAGATCCTTTTGGTCTCGGTTAGTTCGGATCCAAGTTGTAATAGCCAACCACGATACTTGTGAATCTACTCTACTTTTATCCAAGTAGTATATAAGATCTGTTGAACTGATGGAGGGGAACAAATCCGCCTTCACAATCATCTCAAATTCATCGACTACTAGTTCCTTTGCTCTAGTTCTTGCATGAGGGTCATTGTAAATATCTGCCAAATGAGCAACAACTAAACAGTTTTCCGGAGACAAATTGGTTTGCAGAAAACGGAAACAAAGTTTTCTCAAAGCGTCAATTTGCAGAATGCTTGATACATGGAGAATATCCTGACAATTTTCATTGTTTATGTCTGTATCTCCTGTGTATAAGAACTCTATGCATCGGCTCATAGGTTCAGCGTTCAACCTTTTTGATTTCCACGACACCTTGCTCAACAACTTTTTTATCATGAAGAAACATGGCTTGAAAATAATCCGATCCTGCAGCCAATAAACTGCGATGAACTGGGAATAATCTATTATTAATTCCAATATTAAAATCCAAGAGCAATCCAGCATCTTTCATTTTCGAATAAGAATTCAGTATTTTTGATTTATGCTCACGGGCAGCTTCGGCCCGAAACCCATCCATTCTACAGATAAAATTTGCCTTACTCAGTACTGATATGAACACCTAAATAAATAAAAGTGCTTTTATATTTATATATATATACGGTACATTAGATATTTCAGTATTTTTGACATGGCGAACGAAAAAAGGGTGGCCTAAATCTAAATTACGAGTTGTAACCTGTAAGCTGTCATACTATTCTGGACCCAAAACCATATCTCACACGGCTGATAGGATAGGAGGATAGGATTTACATATTTATCCCGGGGGAGAGGAAAGCCGATAAGACGGCTTATCCATATGGCGAACCTCTGATCGTAGAATAACTGACATAAAAATCAAAGCTTCGAAATTATTCCGGAAGCAAACAATTGTACCAGGATTGTCTCGCTTCGTTGAGCATAATAAACTTCATGGCTGCGTCAATAAAAATCTAAGCGTATTTGGGATCTGAGAATCATAATACATACCGGTACCTACATACGTAAACCAATATAAAGATTATTAGTGTAAGTGTAAGTGTTAGTGTTTATTTCGATAGTGCTCCATTTAAGGACAATTTTTGCTTTGTAGAAAGTTCTTACTCTCTAACAATTTGTCTTTCCAGCCATTGTATCAAATGCAATACAAAAGAAACAGTTTACTAAGCTTATATCGAAACGCTCGCAGCCCATTTAAGACTCCTTCGTGGGCAACCCTAAAATGCGGGAAACGGGAACTACGGGAAATGCACTAAAATGCGGGAACTGCGGGAACGACGGGAAATTGCAAAAACTAAAATGCGGGAACTACGGGAATGACGGGAGCTACGGGAAATTTCACTAAAAAGCGGGAAATTTCACAAAAAGCGGGAATGACGGGAAATCGCTTTAAGGTACGGGAAATATTCCTTTTGGAGTATGTTTAGGGGAAATTGTTCTAGAAAGCGAAAGCAATGGTATATATACGCTTGTGGGTGTATGTACGTGAAAATTTATCTAAAATGCGGGAACGACGGCAAATCGCGTTAAAGTACGGGAAATACTCATTTCAGAGTATGTTCAGAAGAAATTGCACTAGAAAATGGAAGCAATGGGAAATATACGCTTGGGTTGTGTGGATACGGAAATTTCACTAAAAGATTCTAATAATATTCGGATTCGGATAATATGTATTTGGATAATATGTATGTTAGTACAATTACCCGTACATGCACACTCAAGTATAAACGGCACTCCGGAAGTATGTGCAACAAGATGACGCACAACTTGAACTCTAACCTGGTATACATACTATGTTCAGGTTGTGCGTCATCTTGTTGCACATACTTTGGGAGCACCCTATAAACTTGCCGTTGCTTTTGCTATTCAATGCATATTTACCCCACACATACTCTAAAATACACATTTCCCATACCCTAAAGCAAATTCCCGTCATTCCCGTCTTTTGTGAAATTTCCCGTAGTTCCCGCAATTTCAAATTGACAAATTCCCGTCGTTCCCGCAGTTCCCGCTTTTTAGTGCATTTCCCGTCGTTCCCGCAGTTCCCGCATTTTAGGGCCCTAAAATGCGGGAAACGGGAATGACGGGAAAAGTTAATAACAAGCGGGAAAATGTTACAAAAAGCGGGAATGACGGAAAATCGCTCGAAGATAAAGGAAATATGTATTATAGTACGATTACTACGTACATGCACACTTAAGAATAAACGGCACTTCGGAAGTATTTGCAACAAAATGGCGCACAACCTGAGCTTAACCTGGTACACATACTTGGTTCAGGTTGTGCGCCATCTTGATGAACATACTTGGAGCACTGTATAAACTTGCCGTTGCTTTCGTCCTTGAGTGAAAATTTAGCCCACACATACTCTAAAATACATATTAGGGCCTATACATTCAGGGCCCTAAAATGCGGGAAACGGGAAAATTTACTAATAAGCGGGAGAATGTTACGAAATGCGGGAAAGAGGGAAAATTGCTCTCAGATAGGGAAAATATGCATTTTAGAGTGTATGTAGGGGAAATTTCACTTAATAGCGGGGAATTTCACACAAAGTGGGAATGACGGGAAATTGCTCTAAGATGGGGGAAATGGGCATTTTATTGTGTATGTACGGGAAATTGTACTAGAAGGCGAGAGCAACGGGAAATATACACTTGAATGTGTAGGTACAAGAAATTGTATTAAAAAGCGGAAATTACGGAAAATATTACTCATGAGTAGGAACTATGTGATATTTTGGGAAATTTTACTGAAAATCAAGTGGGTATAAGGGAAATTCTCTAAATAAGCGGCGATGACGGGAACAACGGTAATTGATGGCGATGACGGCAATGAAAAGCGAACGTATTGACAAATGACGGGGAGAGTCGGAAGAGTAAGAGCATCGCGTAAAAAATAAATAATATGTATTTAGCTGTTTTTTAGCTGGCGATCTAAACCGTCTTCCATTGTTTTACGTAATTTATTACGAGTGTTACTTGTAATTTTTGTTATTCAGTGAATTGATATTTCCTGTTAACTTAGCATCATTACAGTGCTGTTTTATTTGTGTGAAGGGTGTTGCCCAATATTTCTTATGCAAGTATAGGTTTAATGCTCCCTATAATCTGAATCTTCCTTCTGATTCTCTTTAAAGGTATTTTAGTGGAATTAACCGAATACCCTCAGAGATCAAATAGGAACGCAATGGATTGTAATGCAAAATTTTCATATAGTGTAAAGTTGTACGATCGAATTGAATTGTTCCGAACAACAGATAGTGAAATACACTTAAATCAATGATGCAACTATATGTGATGAAACGAAATTCCATGGGCCCTTCCCAAAACTTTCAACATTTTTTGAAATGCAATTTGGCGACATTTGCAGTGAGACATAAATTCTTACGACTTTGTCAACGTCAATGTGCTATATTCTTGAACGATTTACTGAAAACCGGACGTTCCCCGGCTTGCTATCAATAATCCCTTTTTCAAACGAATCAACCGATGAACCAACTTTTAACATCACACATGCATGGTCTTTGTTTCTATTTGGGCGGTGTAATACCTTATGAGGGTTGTAGACGGTATAGTTTAGCTCCTGTACCTCCTATTGTAATTAGGCGACCAGTAGAGATATATTGGATTATCCCCTTGGTTTTAATTTGTTGTGGTATTCTATGATTTGTCTTGTGTGTATACAAAATTTTATTCTAGGTTAAGGTTCTGCTGTGAAATGAACGTGAAGGCCAACAGAGAGAGAGAGATTTTATTTCGCGCACCAGAAAAAACATTCATAACAATAAATAATGGCTAAAGAAAAAATACACTTCTTTCGGTATAGACTGGAAGGAGTGATACGATCATGCAGTCATCGGAGTCAGCTCCCTCCAAGTTTACGCTGATAAGTTCACAGTAAAATATGACTATTAGAAGTGGTTAAAGTTCACGAAACATGCAAATGGTTAGTGTGGTTTGAGAGTTTTTGCATGGTTTGCGAGAAATTTCTGTATCCCGAATTCAATCATTGCCTTTCAACTAGCGTTTTAAAGATAAATAACTAATGATCAATATCTACTCAAAATAATAATTTCTTCTCAACAAAAGTGTAGGTAGGGTAGTGTTGTTTCCTAATATGTAACCCTTGAATATTCTATTACTCGCAGATTTATTTTCCGTTTTTCAGGTCGTTTCGTGATGATCAATTCATTGGCTAGCTTATTGAATATAAATGGTGTCTACATCAACAAAATTCGCTATGTCTCATCCACGATAAATTTGAATTGACATCAATTGCGTCATAATAACTTAATGAAGAAATGATCCTGTTAAGTAACAATCCTAATTCCGTTATCCTTGCAGAAGTCAATATCTAAAAATTAAAAAAACCTTACCTTGGTAACCAATATATTCCTTTACCCTATCGCCCTACCCTAAATTAAATATAACAAGAGAGCTGTGCTCAAATATATGGACACGTCACAAGGTGTCGCTATTTTTATTCTGACACATAAAAAACGAATCTCTTGAAGTCCACAGAAATTTTTGAAATAAGTAAAAGTGATAGCCTTCTGGCGATAAAATTAATCTTTAACCACTGAAAATTTCAAAACAATTAGTCAAGTATTCGAAGAGAAAAGCGATTTTATCATGACAAGCAAAAGAAAAATAATAATATAATATTGAAACGATCGTTATGTCCACAAAAGTGTACAATAATCAGCTTGGCGATATATTTTTCATAAAAATTCATCTTTACTGTTCACTCCTATTTATAGAATCGATCAATTCGGCAGTGGAAAACAATATAAATTTATTAATATGGTGTGGCCAGTGATTTTTCATTTATTCATATATATTTTTTAACTACCAGTATGTAATTTATCATGTTCTTCTTACTTTATAACTTCTGTATGGTTGTGTGTGTGAGCGTGTGTGAAATATTTTAGGTGAGTGAACACGTACCACTTCTTCTTGGCAAAACCCTCCATCTTATATTCTGTGCGTTTTCAACCTTATCTAAGATTTTGTTTGCTCTCCTGATATCATAATCGGTTTTTATTTATTTATGGAGTCGAAATAAACTTATATTATTAATCGTGATAGATGAAACGCGCGCTACATAGCTTGGACAATTTCGAAAGCGCAGCCTGCCATGTCTTAGCAGGCTACATATGAATTGACTTTATAAGATACTTTTCTTGCTGTTGTGGAAATAAAAACGATTTCCGCAGGAATCTTATGCTGTACATAGATTTCTTGTTCTTCCCGAATCTCGCATTTCATTGTAATGTCCTGTATAAAAACACCTAAATATAAACTTCCTGTTTTACAGCGATTTTCTCAATCTTCCCGCCTTTTCCGTTCTTCCCACCATTTTCAATACTTACGTATTTTGTTGCAATTTTCTATATAAAACACCTAAATACTTATTTTCCGCATTCCCGAGATATTCTTACTCTTCCCGCCTTTTCAATACTTACGTATTTTGTTTCAATTTTCTATATAAAACACCTGAATACTTATTTTCCGCATTCCCGCGATATTCTTACTCTTCCCGAATTTTTCTCGCTCTTCCAGCTATTTTCAATACTTACGTA